ATAGGGGCGGGTCTTGGTTCATCCTCTACGCCCCTGCCTGGTTCCTCCTGCTGTGGTGCTGGTCCCCTGTCTGCTGGTCCTGCCACTGCTGCTCCCACACGCTGATGGTGCAGGCTCTGCTTGAACCCACTAATGGTGTGGAGCGATTGGGGCTGGCGCCATCAGCTGGTGTGAGCAATGGCTGCTGCTCCAACCGCCTCAGGAGCAGGGTGAGGTGGAGAAGCCCTCAGGGGCGATTGGGGCCAGAAGCCGCTGCTTGCACCCACCGGTGGTGCCAAGCAATCGGGACTGGCACTGGGTGTTGGCAGTGGGTACGAGCAGCCACTCTGATGCCTGCTGCGGGTGCGAGTGGGGCCAGTATTGGCAGCAGGTGTGAGTGCCAGGCGGGACTGCGGTGAGCAGGATCAAAGAATTTTCAGTAACCATCAGAGGCTCACCCTGATAACAGCGACTGGCTCCCCGTCTTGGTCTGGCACTTCCACTCACCTGCTCCACCATCCCTCCGTGGCCAACACCCACCATGTTCTGCGCTCTGCCCCCTGCCGCCGACACCTGCCATGTTCTTTGTGCATCACCTGGTGGTCAATGCACATCATAATGACTGGGTTGTTCAGCTGTTTTGCATATTAGCCTGGTCTATTTGCATATTAGTCTTTTAGTGTGTGTGTGTGTGTGTGTGTGTGTGTGTGTGTGTATACACACACACACACACACACACACACACACACGCCGCAGTCCTGCCTGGCACTCACACCTGCTGCCAATACTGGCCCCACTCGCACCCGCAGCAGGCATCAGAATGGCTGCTCGTACCCAGTGTCAGTCCCTATTGCTTGGCACCACCGGTGGGTGCAAGCAGCGGCTTCTGGCCCCAATCGCCCCTGAGGGCTTCTCCACCTCACCCTGCTCCTGAAGGCGATTGGGGCCAGATATATATACACACACACACCCCACAGAGAGATATCTGTGAATTATAATTTGGTTTATTTCTTTAAAAATATTTTTGAGTTTTAGAGAAAGGAAAGGAGAGGAGTATGAGGGAGACAGAGAGAGAGACAGAGTGAGAGAGAGAAAGACAGAGACAGAGAGAAACATCAGTGTGAGAGCTGCCTCTTACATGCCCCCCTACTACAGATTGTGCCCTGACCAGGAATGTAACGCAACCTTTCATTGTATGAAATGATGCCCAACCAATTGAGCCACACTGGCCAGGGCTCAGTTTGATTATTTCTCTGCAGTATAATTGTGTCTGGCCAAGTTGGCTATAAAGAAAATGCTGTTTCCATTTGATTTCCATATATTGATAAAATCAGATATAAGTTTTGGAGTAAAGCCCTCACCAAAATAAATCGCAGTTTCCTTTGAGCGCCTGATGGATATTATGGAGTCACTTTCTAGAAATGCACAAAAACTTGTGTCTATAGTTTATGGGTCATCTCTAACCCTCTGTAATAGTTCAACGACCCTAATTCAAAATATGCCTTTGTCATTTTCTATTTCTAAGCATATTTAATCTCTATGCATATTTTTATTTTTCAAGTATTCAGGTATAATAATTATTTTTGTTGTAAGCAGAGATTGGAAAAAGTTTTGAAAGTTTAAAGATTGACATTAGTATCTTAATCTATTTGAACTTCTAATTATGGCTTTGTGAAAGAAATACTGGCAAGGACTCAGCAGTTTTGGCCTTTTTTTTTTTCAGTTCAAATCTTAAAATCTTATTTCATCTTTTCAAGGAATTTAGATATATGTCTCTATAAGCCAGGAGAAGTGAGGGACTAAATAGAAGTTTTTAGAGGAACATTTTCCAAAAATTCCTGGGTGCTGACATTCTAAGAATAGTTTCAGCTACTGTATATTTGAAATGTATTTTGAACAATTGAATCCTGAATAATAGTTTATGCTATTATTTGGGTAGGGTTTTTTTGCCTTTTGTGGAAGTAAAAGGACTATAGACAGTTTCTAGCTGTGGGAGAAGAAGCCATCTCTTAGTTTGCTTCTGGCACTCAGTGTAGCTGCTTTCCAGGTTTTAGAGATTACAGGTTTGGGGGAGCCCATGTGTTTTATCTTTCTTAAGGTGTCTTTTTTCTTTTATTTATTGTCGCCACTATTACTGATGCCTCCATCCCCCTTTGGCCACCTCTATCCTTAAAGTGTCTTATCTGTCTTTTAAAGTGTGAGCCTTTCATTGAATTGAAGGATACTATGACCTCCTGCCATTTCTGTTTTCAAGATTAATTCTCTAGTTTTCTTACAGCATTGAATGTTGCTGACTTGGGTACAAATAATTCTTTTTTATTATTAAGTGTCTTTTTAAAGCCTCTGATCTGTTGCCACATTTATTTTTTTTCCATCCTCAAATATGATTGTACCAAATCTTTTCATAGAAGATCACTGCTGAAGAAGTAATTTCTTTTTAAAATAGCAAAAGAAGAAGAATCAACTTTCTTCTACTCTACTTGCCTATCCACCCACTGAAAACTATCTTCTTGAGGAGTCACTTTAAGTTGATAGATGGTGTGATGATTTCAGAGCACTTTATATCTTAAGAAACAAAGAAAAACATGTTAATATAAAATTTGCCACCATTTATAATTTTTTAAACTATGAAATGAAAAACAAATTTAAGTTACCTTAATAAAGCCGCTCTAGTGGAAACATTTTCTGAGACTAGCGCTTGACCTTAGTTTTTGTTAGTACAACTATAAGCATAACATTTAAAAATAAACTCATTATTTATGTTATTAGTGCCCAATTCATACCTTTTAAAAATTAAAAAGTTTGAATCCAAAGCAGCAACTTATAAAGCTGTATAATAGCTTCTTTGTTTGAAAAAATTATATGAAAAATGTATTTATACATATATGAAGGTCTATAAGTTATAATGAATTATTTGGGATGAGGAGCTGATTTATTTTGTATATTTATGTGTTGTTTGAATTTTTTGGTCAGGAAAAAAGTGGAATTAAAAGGTGTAGGTGATAAACTTTTTAAGTGGAATTGGTGTTGAAAAGTGTTCCTTTCATCAAAATATAGATGATCTTCAAGCCTTCAGAAAAAAAACCACTTTACTGGATTACTTTTATGTTTGGATAGAATAGATCCACATAGTATACAGCAATGCATTAGACCCCTATTTTCTAATATTCAGGATAAATTTAACTACATATCATAGAGAAGAGAAGTAGTATAATTGAGTGAAAAGATTGAAGGTATAAAAAAGTAAACTAATTCTGCTACCTAGAGTTACCCTAATTCTTTTACTATGCTAATTAATTAATGTGATCATTGCAAAGGCCAAAAAAGAATTCAGTCAGAAATATCATGATATAATTTGCACCCCATTTTGTGTGTGATCATAAATTGTCAGATATTGCAATATATGTAACATAAACCACATGTCAGCTGTTTCCTGCCTCACTGTTGACAAGAGCCCCATTCATAACTCTTCTTTTTATCCTTTCAGTGAATAAGTAATTATTCAATATAGAAGGCAGGATATTTGGAACTGGCTATTTAATGTGGCAGCACTCTGTAATGAAATCTGCTGTTACTGGCAACCTGAGAGGGGAATGTAACAATTCCAGCATAGCTGTAACTTTATCTGCTTTGACTGTTTATTTGGCACATCAGTGAACCTTTTATCCCCGTGAGTGACAGTTCCAGAAGGGTCACATTTACATCCATTCTATCATGTATTGTAATATTTAATGGCGGACAAGGTTGAGTGAGACTGGCAGTAATTTGAACTAGCTTTTCCACTGAGTTGAGGCTAAAAGACAGCTTGAGCCCCAGTATTGTGGTGTAACATGCTATGACTTAGCATTTGTTGATGAAGGCTAATCTTACTGATTATATTTTTTTTCAAAAAACTTCAGTTAAATGGTATATTTGTTCTACTAAACTATAACTCTACAGTACAAATTCTCTTATGCTACTGTGCTACTTAGCTTTGTTCCTCTATTAGTGATCACTTCTATAAACTAACCATTTCAAGGAATTTCTCTTAGTAAGGCTACACTCTGCCTCATATGTATAGTAATTAAGGTTAAAATTAGGTAGTAGTTAGTAAGAATCCATGAGTTCATATATATAGCATTAAACAGTTTTTTATTTTTGAGAGTTGAGAAACAGGAGAGAAAAAAATCAGGTAAACATTAGATTATATTCCTGAAGTTCCATATATGGTGTATTTAAGGAGACATTTATATAGTTTGTTTTTTTTCCTCCCCCCCCCCTTTTTTTTAATTAAGGTATTATATGTGTACATATCTTACCAATTCCCCCCACCCCCATATATAGCTGTTTCAATTATGAAACTAAATTATGAGTAAAATTGTCCAGGAAAAGGTATCCTGAATGATAATTTTACTGATGGATTTGCATTCTATGTCAGGTAATTGAATTTCAGATATACTTGTTCCACACAAGCAACCTGCCTTTATTATTAAATATTAATAATATGCATTCATTTTCATATCTTTGCTAGAGAATAGTTCTCGCTTCTGTTATTCAGTGATAGTGATACTTAGATTCAACTTGATATTTCTATTCTTTTGTAAGCTATATTTTAAATACTTTAAAAATATAGGTATATTATAGAATATTTAAATGGACTGTGCTGTAAACAAAAATAGTACTATCAATTCTAAGCTCACTTGTTCACTTCAATCCTAAGCAAAAATTAAAATTATCTTATTATTTTTATAATTTATGAAACAGGAAAGTTAAAATGTATTTAAAGCATTTGGAATTTGAGAGTTGGAATGGTATGTTAGAAACCAGTGCAAATATGAAAATACCATTTATAAGTTTTAAGAGTGAAAGAGAATCAATTTGAAATGGAATTGGTAGTTTTTCTTTAATGGCAAGTATTGGATGGTATCTTGATATTATTTGAAAGTTGTGATTCATTATTATGGGTTCTGATTCTATGAGAGGTTTGATGACATTTTTTATGGTAGTTCAGACATTAGTTATCTTTTTCTTTTCTTGTACAGCCCTCTGGTCACTGCTCTAGGTGCTGCTGTTCTACTAAACAAGGAAACAGTCAGGATTCTTCAAATGCCACTAAGAAGGATCATGGGGGGAAATCCAAGATACCAAAAATATATTTTGGGACACGAACACACAAGCAGATTGCTCAAATTACTAAAGAGCTCCGGAGAACAGCGTACTCAAGAGTCCCGATGACTATTCTTTCCAGCAGGGACCATACTTGTGTCCATCCTGAAGTAGTAGGTAACTTCAACAGAAATGAAAAGTGCATGGAATTTCTGGATGGAAAAAATGTGAGTAAACTTACTTGGTTTTTGAGAAAAAAATAAGGTTAAAAGGATTACATTAACTCATTTTTTTTGTTTTTATATGTACATTTCCAGTTATAATCAAATAAGTTATGAAGTCAAATTAATTACTAGTATTAATATTTTTTGAAAACTAATTTTACCACAAGAAGAATCTTTATTCAGGTTTAAACTTATGTCCTAAAGTTTGGGGATATTTAATTCCTTGAGGTTAATTTTTATTTAGTAAATCAGATGTCTTCTTACTTTCTCGGAAGTCTATCAGAAATAGTCAAACATGAATGATTTCATATGAAATGATAAAAGTATTTAAATGGGCTAGATTTAATTAATGCCATACATATTTAAAACTTTAAAGAAAGATACTTTATTTAGGTTTTTTTGAGCAAATTTTAAAATGTTTTTTTAATTGAATGAGAAATATAATGATTATTTTGTCTCATTCTGATTAACACAAACTTCTGTTTCCAAAAAATTATATTAAATTACTAACTTTAAAGATATGTCATTGTGGTTTTGAAGTTTTCCAGGAAAATCTAAATTGACATGAATTTGGACTAGAAATTTAGTGGAAATAGAGAAGTCTTTCTTACTAAAGACATGACTTTGAAATAATTTTTTGGCACAGTATTCATTTGGTAGTTTGTGTACCTGTTTGATAACTAGCTTACTCAAAAATGGAAGTTACGAGTCTATAATTACACTCAGAAATTATTGGTGAACCATAAATTGATAGTATATGAAATGACCAATAATATTTTAATATATTTTGAAAGTTGTTCAATTTTTCACTAGTATTTTGTCAGAGTTGTTTTTGTACAAAAGGAGATGGGCCTCTAGAGTTTCATTTAATTGACATATCACCTTCTACTATATAATATAAATTAATTATTTTATATTATGCTTTTCTTTCTCAGTGCTTTCTTTTATTAGATGGAAATTTATTCAAGCTTTGTTTGGGATAGTAAAAAGATGCTTTGATAGGCATTCAGACATGTGAATATGAAATATAAGTACTAAGGAACGTAACTTGTTCAGAGCCAGGAAGAGAATACAGATTATTGAATCAAAACCATTGTTAAAATACTATTTATATTTATTTCCAATAAGTTCTTCTTAATTGAGGAACTGTGAAATCTTCATAATATTTAAAAAGTTCTCTTCAAGGAGAGATGAAAATAGTAAAAAGTCAAATACTAAAAAGATAATAGAGAAAAGGCTCTTCATGATAAAACCCCATAAATTTTGTGCATTTTTAAGGAGACTTCTTCCCATAAGTGGCTAATTAATCTACTGGATTTCTCAAATTCTTGAAATTTCTCTTTTGTCTATATAGTTTATGCAAGAAGATTTGGCATTGCCTTTTTTTTACTTGTTACTGGGAAAATTTTAACATACTCATTTATTTGTTATCTCAATATTTAAAGCAATTATAAAGTTTAAGATTGTGCATTGAAAGCAGGTAGTCTTATTTTATGTAATCCTCTAGAACACTATAGTACTGGTTATGTTTTTTGATCTTTACTGTCATAAGTTTGGATAGTGTAAAAATAAAAAGTAATCCGGTAAACTTGAATGTTTAGAATTTTTCATTGGCCTTTAGTTTCTGTTTTAAAATAAACAAGTCTTTAAAAATTAGTGATATACATAATTGAATATACCTGCTTGTAGTTGTTTGTCTTGACCTAATTCTGCCTCAGAATGCTTAGCTCATAGTTATACCTGAACATTCTTTTTCTTGTTCCCAAGCCCTTCAGGTAATTTGGTATTGTAATGAGGGCCAATTACAAAGTCACCATAGGTGTCTATGTTTACTGTGGCTGAATTACCAAAGAGAAATGATAAATAGATAACTGACAGTTTGAGTGAAAAAGAGTGTAAAATGTGATAACGCTTTAATTGACAGACTGCCCTCAGGGTTGTGTTACACTGCTAAAATGGATGAGCTTTTCTGGTTTTGCTATCAGCCTGCACAGGAGTGTCATTTTAAGTGCCCTTAAAGTGTAAACTTTCTGATTTTTTGGCTTGATCCAAAGGCACATGTGTTTTTGTTCACTGTTTCTTTTATGAACGTGCTCTTATACTGGAAATGTAATGCATTTATCTGTTAAAAGTTAATTTTGTTTCAGTTAAGAAAAAAATTAACTAGCCCCAGAAATAATTTAAAAAGAATATTTTAGTTATGGAAGAATATCTGTTTTTGTTAGGATGAGATTTAACAGTTTTTAATAATAGATTCTGAAGGCATCTACCTTAGTCATCATTTTGTACAAATACAAGTTTTCTGAATAGTTAGGATGGTAGATATGATATAATTTTCTCATCTTTGCTTTGTGGCTTTAAAGATGTTATTAACATTCTGAGATAAACTTGTTTTATTTCTCTGGGCCAATATTGGTTCACATTTCAATTATGCATATTTGTTTTTAGGGCAAATCCTGCTATTTTTATCATGGTGTTCATAAAATTAGTGATCAACACACATTCCAGACTCTACAAGGGATGTATGAGGCCTGGGACATAGAAGAACTAGTCAGCTTGGGGAAAAAATTAAAGGCATGTCCATATTACACAGCACGAGAACTAATACAAGATGCTGACATAATATTTTGTCCCTACAACTATCTTCTAGATGCACAAATAAGGGAAAGTGTAAGTAGATACGTAAAAATTAGAGCTTTTTTTTTTTTTTTTAAACTTATTGGGATGTAAGTGGTGAATGTGAAAGCTTTTAGATGTTTTAATGTCTTTTATTTTTTTTATAGTTTATGTAAGTGTATAAACAGATTAGAGTACATATTGTAAGGTGTAGTTAAAATTGAATTTTAGATCTCATCACTTTAATTTCTAAAGTAATAAGTACTTTTAAGGAACTAATACTGAAGCAGGATTATAGCAGTTTTCATCACCTTGTTAGTGGTGACATTTTGGACTGGATAATTTCTTGTTGTGTTGGGCTGTCTTGTGCATTATAGGATGTTTAACAGTTTCTCTGTTTTTATCCACTAGATGCCAGTAGCACCCTCACATGGTAATAATAAGAAATGTCTCCAGACTTTGCCAAATATACCCTGGGGAGCAAAATTACCCCCAGTTAAGATTTTTTTACAGATATCATTCTCTCCATTTATGAATAGTCAGAAATAATTATTTTAAAACATTTATCTACAGAATCTGTTTTGAAGAATTTATGTTGGAAGATATTCATACTATGCAAATAATGCTTTGTGAGCTTTTAAGAAGTGAACTTCATATACATCGTTTGTGTTTATATGTTTGGTTTTTCTTAGGGACATCCAATTGTTTCAGTATAAGACAAAAAAAAATAATAACTTAGTATATTCAATTGTTATTTCTCTCTTTAGTTCTGACTGTAAAACTCTAGCTTTCTATCTCCTTAAGTTTGAAATGAATAGAATTATTTTTTTACTACCTCTATTATCTTTCCTCTTGTCCTATTTCTTGGCTAAGTCTCTTCTGAGCGACGCTGCAGATCAATCTTCTAATATTACTTTTAGTAATCTTTTTTCTGCTTAAAAATCTCTTAGTGATCTTTGCTCAAGGGTAAAGTCCATATTTCTTAAGCTTACTTTCAAGTTGCTCAATAGTCTGACCTGAATCTGCTCTTTCACCCTTCTCTGCTGCAAACTCCCCAACTGGAACCCTTCAAAAATTACCTCATAGTGGTAATTACCTGGCTGGGTATCTCAGTTTAGAGGATCGTCTCAATATACCAAGGTTGCGGGTTTGATCCCCAACCAGGGCACATACAAGAATCAACCAAGGAATGCATAAATAAGTGAAACAACAAATCGATGTTTCTCTCTCTAAAATCAATAAAGCAATAAAATTACCTTATAGACCCCCGAGGATTCTTTGTTCTTTCCTGTATCTCTGCTTTCTTTCTTTCTTTCTTTTTTTAAAAATATATTTTATTGATTTTTGTACAGAGAGGAAGGGAGAGAGATAGAGAGCCAGAAACATCGATGAGAGAGAGTCATAGATCAGCTGCCTCTTGCACACCCCCCACTGGGGATATGCCCGCAACCAAGGTACATGCCCTTAACCGGAACCGAACCCGGGGCCCTTCAGACCCCAATCCGACGCTCTATCCATTGAGCCAAACCGGTCCCGGCTGCTTTTTTATTTTTAATCACCAAGCCATTTGGCCAGGCCTGTATTTCTGCTTTTGATGACACCTGTGTTGAAATACCCTACTCTCTTCTATCCAAATCCAAGTCCTATTCCTCCTTGAACCCCGTGTACTTCCTACTCTTCCATAAAAACCCCTCTAAAGGGATCTCCAACATATCTTACGGAACAAAGATACCCATGGGTAGCTAGCTAACCTGGAAAAAAGAACATGATCTTATATTAGTCACCCCTAACTACTCTGATTGGCCTAGTTTGAATCTCATATCCATTCTTGAACCAGTCACTGTGACCGTGCAGGGATGTAATACTTTATTTAATTGACAAGCCTGGTCTCTGAGTCTACCCATGTTGTAAGAGTGGTGATGTCCCATGTTTAGCATATTAACAGTCCTACCAACATAATGTAGGAGTTGGGGAAGAGCGTTTCTTACAATGAAGTGTTGCAGGACAGACAAAAATGAAATATACATTAATGTTTTGAGAGTCTTTTGAATCTTTTATTGTTATTTTAGTTTTAAAGTTTTTTTTTAAAAAAAATTCTGCTTTTTAAATTATGTTGGAGATCCTTTCATAGAGGGATTTTTATGCTCCTTTGTGTAGCCAGCTGTACTTTAATCCAGGCTCACTTAACACATTATTTTGGTTGTGACAGGTTTGCAAAGTATTTTGAGAGTGAAAAATAGCAAACTTTGTAATGTTGAGCTGATATTTGGTTGGCTTTAGGGTTTTAGAAGTTTTAAGGCCTAAAATCAGTTGTATTTGCAATATTGGCCTACAGTGTGAATTTTTAAATGAAACATCTACCCACTGCTGTTAAATGCATTTTGCTGAAAGTTTTACGGGGAATTTTTTTTTGTCTTATAGATGGATATCAATCTGAAAGAACAGGTTGTCATTTTAGATGAAGCTCATAACATTGAGGACTGTGCTCGGGAATCAGCAAGTTATAGTATAACGGAAGTTCAGCTTCGGTTTGCTCGAGATGAACTAGATTGCATGGTCAACAATAACATAAGGAAGAAAGACCATGAGCCCCTACAAGCTGTGTGCTGCAGCCTCATTAAGTAAGAACATTTGTCTATCAGTGTCATTTTGCTGCCTTTGTATTAAAAACATGTTTTATTTTGCAGAGTATTTTATAGTTAGCAAACTTCGACTAGGAAATGGATTGCTCCTTATCAGTTAAACTTTTAAAAATAGGCCTTGTCCAAAGTTTTGGCTTAGTCAAAAGAATATAATGGACAGAATAGATTTTTTTAAAAATTGATAATTGTGAATCTTATTCTTAATTTAACAGCCCCATATGCTGTGTATAGGACATTGGTCTGAACATAAATTAATGATTCTAATTAACATTTTAAAATTCAGGATATGGCTTAATTCATTGTTTTATCCTTCAGTTTGAGAAGAATTCTGGTTTAATGAATTTCAATTAACCAATATCTTAATACTGTAAAATAATATATTTAGTAGAAATTCTATTAAGATTTATATTACATAATTTCTCTTTATTAGACATTAGGTTTTTTTTTTTTTTTATCTCTTTATTAGAGGCCTGGTGCATGAAATTCAGCCTGGTTTGCAAGAGGGCACAGGCCAAGCCGAGGGACCCCACCCGTGCACAATTGGGACCGGGGAGGGACAGGGGAGGTTGGCTAGGTGGGGAGGAACAGTAGGAGGGCTCCAGGGTGTGTCCAGCCTGTCTCACTCAGTCCTGATCAGCCAAGGCCCCAGTAGCAAGCTAACCTACCAGTTGGAGCATCTTCCCCCTAGTGGTCAGTGCACATCATAGCGACTAGTCGACTGGTCAACTGTCTGCCCCTTGGTAGTTAGTGCATGTCATAGCGAGTGGTTGAGCAGCCTTAGCATATCATTAGCATATTATGCTTTGATTGGTTGAACAGATGACCGGAAACTTAGCATATTAGACTTTTGTTATATAGGATCTTAGAAAAAAACCTTCTCTGACACTAGATCCTATTTCATTTATCTCAGCATTTTTCTGTTCCCTTAACAGTATACTTTTTAAAAATGTGAAAGTTATATATATATATATATAAAAAAAAAAAAAAAAAAAAAAAAAAAAGCCGAAACCAGTTTGGCTCAGTGGTAGAGCATCGGTCTGCGGACTGAAAGGTCCCAGGTTCGATTCCGGTCAAGGGCATGTACATTGGTTGCAGGCACATCCCCGGTAGGGGGTGTGCAAGAGGCAGCTGGCCGATGTTTCTCTCTCATAGCTCTCTATCTCTCTCCCTTCCTCTCTGTAAAATATCAATAAAATATATTAAAAATAAATAAATAAATAAATAATAAATAAAAATGTGACAGTTATAGTCACATGTTTGAACAGAAATAGTATACACAAATTTCTATTGTAAAAACTTCCATCTCACCTCACCCCCATATGCTTAGTTCTTGTCCTCTTATACAAATTTATCATTTAGTGCATGTTTATGCATAATGAGTCTATTCTTTCTCAAATTCTTTTGATAGTTCATGTTTTGTTTGATGTCTAGATGTTGAAGTGCCTCAGGACTTGGTCTTAGGACCTCATTTCATTTCTAGTTCTTCACTTCTCCTAAATTACATAACCCAGTCCCATAGCAGTACTGCCGAGGCCTGGACCTGTGTCTAGCCCCAACCTCTCCCTGGAGTGCTATTTCCATAAATCCAACTATACTTTATATCTTTGTATGTATATAAAAGTTCAGCTTTCCAAAACAAAACTTATTCCCTTCCCCTACTTAACCCCCTGTCTTTCTCATTTAAGCAAACAGTACCAATCAAATTTTCTCAAATAGAAAATCTAAGTGTAATTCTCAATTACTGCCCCACCTCATTCAATTTATCAGTAAGTCTTGTAAATGCCATTTGCACAACATATCCCAAATTCCTCAGTCTCATGTCTACCATTCAACTGGGAAGACTGTAACAGCCTCCTAACCGATCTCTGCTTTCACCTTGCCTTTCTCCTATAATCCATTCTGACTTTGAAGCTGGAATCATCTTTTAAACACTTAAAATAGATGGTCTCTCTCTCTCTCTTGTTTAAAATCCTCCATTTAAAATCTTCCCATTGCATTTTGAATAGAATTCACATTTCTTATCCTGGCTTAACATGATCTGATTCTTGCTTATCACTCTAACGTTATTCCCTTTTGCCCATTGTGTTGCAAATACATTGGCTTTCTTTCAGGTCCTTAAAGAGGATAATTTGTGAACCACCTCAGGATCTTTGCATGATATCTTCTGATTCTCCCAGGACTGGGTACATTTTGCTCTCAATGCTGCCATGACTAAGTACATTTGCCTTCAATTGTTAGAATAAATGTTACCTCAGGGAGAGCTTTCTTTTTTTTTTTTTTTTTTATTTTTTTTATTTATTAAATTATTTTCTGTGTACATATTTTAACATTGCCCCCCCCACATACCCTCCCTCCCCAGAGTTTTGTGTCCATTCGTTGTACTTATATGCATGTATACAAGTCCTTCGGTTGATCTCTTATCTCCCCCAGATCTCCCTAAGGGAGAGCTTTCTTGATATTCAAATTAAAGTGGCAATTAGATTACCTTAATCTAATTTAGTTTCATTATACTTCTTATTGCTATCTTATATTTTCTTGTTCATGTATTTGTTTCTAAATTTCTTCCTTTAGTAGAATGTAATTTTCATGAGAATAAGGGCCTTCCCTATTTTACTTCCCTATTTTAGTATGTACTGCTATATTTCTACTACCTAGTATAGTTATCTAGCATAATAATTGACATTTAAGCACTTATTGGATGTACACATGTGTATATAAGTTAATGAATATATTTATATATTTTCTAGTAATTCACTTTAAAAAAATATTTTTTTATTGATTATAGAGAGAAAGGGAAAGGGAGAGAAAGAAACATCAATGATGAGAGAGAATCATTGATCGGCTGCCTCCTGCACATCCCCAAAGGTGATCTAGCCCACAGCCCCGACATGTGCCCTTGACCGGGAATCAAACCAGGGATCTTTCAGTCCGCAGGCCGATGCTCTATCCACTGAGCCAAACCCCAGGCAGGGCTCTAGTAACTCTCTCTTTTTTATGTGTTAATATGTAACTTAAATTTTTTTATTAGGTAGTTTTGTATTTCCTTTAATGTGCATTTGGGATGAGCTTCCAAGTCATGGCTCTCATTTGGAGAGAGTCAAGTAAAGCAGTTGAATCCACAAGATGCTGCCTGTTTTTCTTTTCTGAATAAAAGCCTGTTTGTAGTTTTCTGATTGAAAGCTTGCTCTTTACATATGTGATTGTTTATTTTGTAATATGAGATATGCTTTTAGGACATCAATATGTCTTAATCCATATTTGTGTCCTGAGAGCTTCAAGGAATCTAGATGAACATATCTTAATTCTCTGTTCTATGAAAATGGTGCCCATAGATGACACTGGTTAATGGGGACTATTTTATTTTATTCCAGTTGGTTAGAAGCAAACTCTGAGCATCTTGTGGAACGGGATTATGAATCATCCTGTAAAATATGGAGTGGTAGTGAAATGCTCTTGAATTTACATAAAATGGGTATCACCACTGCTACTTTTCCTATTTTGCAGGTAAGGTTTCTTTCTACCTGTGGAAATTCACTTAGTGAATTAGAAATGATTAATAGTGAATAAGTTTTATCCAGGGTAAAAAAATATAGCAATTTGTTTTAAAATTTTATTATGTAAGTTTGACAGTATTATGTGTGATGGGCATAAATTTTGGATGAAAAAGTAGTATTATTTAGTTTGAAGGAAATAAGGCTTAAAGGAATGAATTACTTATTCGAAGATAAAATAAATCAATATTTTTAGGTTGTAAATTTATTTTATTAATAGTAAGAGTTAAAATTTGGAAAATAAATAGATTTCATATTTTGTTCTCAGAATAGAAGTTTATAAACCTAAGTGGATGGAGATCATGAGTGGGCTATGGGATACTGTAAACATTATGAAATCACATGCAAAATTTTATGAGTATGTGACTTGTTTTTGTGTATATCATGAGATAGGGAATCCATTTTGATTTCCATGTCGATAGTGAATTTTCTCATCATTTACTAACTAGTCTAACTCTATTTGTAATGCCATTTCTGTCACATATCTAATTTTTCATACATGTGAGAGTTTAATTTTGAACTCTATTCTATGATTCTGCTTATCTAAACTGTCATGTATACTACTGTTAGAAAAATGCTGATAGATCTGGTAAGGCATATCTCCTCACTTTGTTCTTTTCCTTTGTAATGATCTTGGCTATTCTTGGTCTTACTCTACCATTTGAATTTTAGAATTAGCTTTGGTTCATTCCTTTAATTTTTCTTGTAATATAGTCATATTATCCTCAGCATTAGAATACACTAGAAATAATTCAGGCATTAGGTGACATATCAACTCTTTTAAGCTCCACGGAGGAACCATTTGGTAAGTACATTTTTATGTAGTTCATTACTTTTGAAGGATACTAAATAATAATCTGATTACCTAAACATGTAATGAGCCTCCTAAATATATAATTTTATTAAAGGTCTTTGAAGATAATGTGGGAATCTAAAACATATTGTTAGCACTTGTTTATTAGTAAAGTTTGCCTAAAATTTCAATGTATATTTCATTTAGTTTTCATTATAGCTTTGAAAAGTTTGTTTTACTCCTTAACCCTCCCCCACTGTATACTTAATATTGTAATTTCTTATAGGGACATTTTTCTGCTGTCCTTCAAAAAGAAGAAAAAATTTTATTGGTTCATGGGAAAGAGAAGACAAGAGAAATACCTGTTATTAGTGCTTCAACTCAAATAATGCTCAAAGGACTTTTTATGGTGCTTGATTATCTTTTTAGGCAAAATAGCAGGTAAATAAAGATATCTGATCTGTTTTTTCTCTCTTAAAAATATTAGCCTTTTTGGATGTTGGCATGTGTTTAATACATTCTTATTTTGTAGGAGTACATAGGATAATAAATAAACAATTGATAAAAATAATTGCTCTCCTTGGCACAGATTCAGATTAATTGAAATTAGTCTTTAATAATGGAAATAAGTATTGAAATCAATAGATATATTAATTCAGCATTAAATTTATAGTTCTCTAGGACTAAATTTAAGCAGTTAAATTGTCTTTTAAGTATCCTATCTAATGTACACTAATAAAAGAGAAAGACACAAACTGACTGTACTGTCATGGTGTCCAACAGCCAATTAGGAGTGAGTATGCAAATTAACCCAACAAAGATGGCGGGTTAATGTGCACATGCAGGTACTGAGTGGGTGGAGGAGGGCGGGACATCTGTGTTGTCACCATGTTGACGACACAGGCATTCTGGATCGCCCTCAGCCACTCTGGGTCTCTGGGCAGCATGGGATGGTGGAAAGGCGGCTCAGGGATGGAGCAAAGGCAGAAAGGCAGCTCTAGTCTGGAGGGGAAGGCCCATTCTTGCACGAATCTTTGTGCATCAGGACTCTAGTAATCTAATAGAGTAATATGCAAATTGACCATTACTCCAACACACAAGATGGCTGCCCCCATGTGGTCAAAGATGGTCGCCCCCATGTGGGCACAAGATGGCCGCCACATAATGGCCTGCAGGGAAGGGCAGTTGTGGGTGATCAGGCCAGCACGGAAGGGCAGTTAGGGTGACCAGACCTTCAGGGGAGGGCAGTTAGGGATGACCAGGCCTGCAGAGGAGGAGAGTTGGGGGTGATCAGGCCTGCAAAGGAAGGCAGTTGTGGGCAATAAGACCGGCAGGAGAGGGGAGTTAGGGTTGACTAGGCCTGTAGAGGAGGGCAGTTAGGGGTGACCAGGCCTGCAGGGAAGGGCAGTTGGGGGCAACCAGGCCTGCAGGGGAGGGTAGTTAGGGGCAATCTTCCAGCAGGGGAGTGCTTAGGGAGTGATCAGGCTGGCATGCAGAAGCAGTTAGGGGCAATCAGGCAGGCAGGCAGTTGAGCGATTGGGAGCCAGCAGTCCTGGATTGTAAGAGGGATTTCCCACAGGAATAGGGCCTAAAAGGGCAGCCGGACATCCCTCAAAGGGTCCCAGATTGGAGAGGGTGCAGGTTGGGCTGAGGGACAGCCACCTTCCCAGTGCATGAATTTTGTGCACCAGGCCTCTAGTAGTTTACATATGTTTCTTCCAGTAATAGAAAGTTTCTTATTGCATAAAGCCTCTATTTAGTGAATTGTGCAAAATGAAAAGCAGTTATGGTACTCCCTGGTTCTAGTATTTTGTTTTTTAAATTTTGGTAATATATGCATAACATAAAATTTATCATCTTAGACATTTTTAAGTGTATATTTCAGTAGCATTAAGTAGATTCACATTGTTGTGTAACCACCACCACTAACCATTTATAGAACTTTTTGGTCATCTTGCCCAGGACTGGAGTTCAGTGCAGTCAGGTCTTCCTTTTCCCTCCCGCTTTAGAAAGCCAGCTGTGCACTCAGCCGCCTGTGCACACAGCTGTCCGTCCTCTCCGCATGCATGTCTCTGTACCTCAGCCTTTTGCAGCTCCTCTAAGTCTCAATGTGCTTTCCTCTTTTCTTCTAGTTGGAGAATTTCCACTTAGCCAGCTTTCCTGTGGTTCTGGATGGTGTCCATTTTGTCCTTTAGTTGTAGTTTTGATATTGTTATGGGAGGCAGTAGTTTAGGTGTTTACCTATGCCACCATCTTGGTTTCTCTCTTGCTAAGAAGAGCCACTTTGGTGAGCCGCTGAACAGACCAGCCCACGCACAGATGTGGAGCTGGCAGGTGAGCTCTGCACCTCCGCCTTCCTGCAGGGGATGAAGTTCTGCCAGAATAGCATTCTTTTTAATGGCTGATTAATATTCTCTCTTTCTCTCTCTCTCTCTCTCTCTCTCTCTCTCTCTCTCTCTCTCTCTCTCTATATATATATATATATATATATATATATATAGAGAGAGAGAGAGAGAGAGAGAGAGAGAGAGCTGTCTATCTCTATCACATTTTGTTTATTCATATTGATGTACATTTGGTTTGTTTGCACCTTTTACCAATTGTGAATAATGCTGCAGTGAACATTTATGTGCAAGTATCATATTGAGTTCTTTTTTTTTTACTTCTTCTGAGTATGTACCTACCAGTGAAATTGCAGGATCATATGGTCCGATTTATTTATTTCTTTAAAGTCAAGTTACTTACTTGTGCTTTTGGTATATCCAAGAACCATGGATAAATCTGATGTCATGAAGATTTTCCCCTATGTTTCTTCTAAGGGTTGTATAGTTTTTAGCTCTCAATATTTTTATAAAATTCTCTCCACAGATTTAAGATTCTTGCCTTGAACTTCAAGACCTTATCTCTCTTAAGAGCAAAATTTAGGACTGGTAGAGAATACCACATTTTATTCTCTTTAAGCTTATGTATTTATAGTCTCTTATTAAAAGAAATTATAAAATGATGGGATTACTGAGGACACCTGGTTTAATACCTTTGTTAAAAATAGATGAAAACTGAGATCCAAATATTAAAGGAACTTAACATTTTTATAGTCTCCTGAACTATTTAAACTTTCAATAAAACTGAATGTTTTTTACTTTTTCATGTAATAAAAAAAAGTGTAAACGACTTTTTAGTTTTTACTAACAATAATGCTAGTTATCTATTTTATAACTAAGGATGTAACGTAGAGTACAAAGAGCTCTGAACTAGGAGTTGGTTTGGATTTTAATTCTGGCTCTGCCGTGATTTATGGAAGGCAGCTATGATTACCGCTATACCACCAATGCAGACATCTGCTATGATTTATGTAGTGTTTGATCATAGGGAGAGGAATGATAAAGGTTAGATAGTTAGATGATATCTAATCTCTATAAGAGGGAGTTGCTTCTAAGACACAATGGCTTATTTTCTATCAGAATTACTGAATTTAATTAGTGGTAGGTGTTTCTTAGGCAAAATATAATCTTTGTGACGATATAAGACTCTCAATTTAGTTAATATAATCAATTTTTTTCTTATATGTAGCTGGGGCATATTGGTTTTATAAAGCTTTGCCATTTAATTAACACTTACTTTCATTTAGGTTTGCAGATGATTATAAAGTTGCTATTCAACAGACTTATTCTTGGATAAATCAGACTGATATTTCTGACAAAAATGGTTTCTTTGTTCCACCAAAAAATAAGAAACGTTCACGACAGAAAACTGCAGTTCATGTGCTAAACTTTTGGTGCTTAAATCCAGCTGTGGTAAGCTGATTGTTATATATGAAAATTCTGTCTTCTAACTCAATACAAACAAATAAATGTGCCTGACTCTTTTAAAGATGATTTTATATATATATCTAATGTTGTTTCCTTCTAGGCCTTTTCAGATATTAATGGCAAAGTGTGGACGATTGTTTTGACATCTGGGACTTTATCACCAATGAAATCCTTTTCATCAGAACTGGGTGTTACATTTACTATTCAACTGGAAGCTAATCATGTCATTAATAACTCACAGGTTAGGATTTTTGTTTTGAAGGTGTTCAGTCTTTTTACCTCAATATAATTGCACATAAACAAATTGGAAGTACCGCAAACAGATCCTGATAGGAAAGTCAAAATACTAATAAATGCATTCCTTCAACCCACTGAATAAAAATATATACTTTGTATGCAAAGACTGTATTGAAATTTCCTCATTTAAATAAATTTTAGTGTATTTTTAAAAATGAAAATTCAACTTCTTTACCATAGAGTCTATTGTTTAATTATTTATAATATGTGTTTCTCTTTTCTATTAGACTATGGTAGATATATCCTTGTTCTTCTTTTTATATATACATTCTTCTGTACCTAGACTAATATCTATGTAGCATCAGTTAGCAAGTGTTAGGCACATATTTGAGTATCTGAAATGAATTAGAAGTACTCTTTTTTAAAAAATATATATTTTATTGATTTTACACAAAGAAGAATTGAGAGGAATAGAGAGCTAGAAACGTTGATGAGAGAGAAACATTGACCAGCTGTCTCTTGCACACCTCCCACTGGGGATGTGCCCGCAACCAAGGCACGTGCCCTTGACCGGAATCGAACCCGGGACCTTTCAGTCCGCAGGCCGATGCTCTACCACTGAGCCAAACCGATTTCGGCTAAAAGTACTCTTATGAGTCCTGTGACTTAAGATTTTAATTTTTTTATAATAACACCATATAGATGTTACTTTAATTTTCCTTTTTAAAAAAATATATTTTATTGATTTTTTACAGAAAGGAAGAGAGAGGGATAGAGAGTCAGAAACATCGATGAGAGAGAATCATCGATCAGCTGCCTCTTGCAGCTGATCTGGGGATGTGCCCACAACCCAGTTCATGTCCCTGACCAGAATCGAACCTGGGACCCTTCAGTCCACAGGCCGACGCTCTATCCACTGAGCCAAACCTGTTTTGGTTAATTTTCCTTAAAATGTTTTTATTATCATTTATTGATCTCTCTCTCTTTTTCAATCCTCACCTACGATATTTTTCCATTGATTTTTGGAGAGAGAGGAAGAGAGAGGGAAAGACAGAGAGAAATATTTAATATTGATATAATAGAGTCAATATTTATATTTCTGTAGAAACTCAAAATGCCTTTTAACCCATTTTTAAAAATTACTTTTAAAAATATGTATTTTATTTATTTTTTACAGAGAGGAAGGGAGAGGGATAAAAAGTTATTAACACTGATGAGAGAGAAACATTGATCACCTGCCTCGTGCACACTCCCAGTGCCTTAACCGGAATCTGCAGGCTGACGCTCTATCCACTGAGCCAGACCAGCTAGGGCTATTTTTTAAAATATTCTTAATCCAGGATCCACACAATAATTATATATTACTTTTGGTTTTCATGTCTCTTTAGTCTTTAAAAACAGTTTTCTTGCCTTTTTTCCCTTTCTGTCTATCTGACGTTTTATGAAGAATTCAGTTCACCTGTTTTCTTAAGTAATAGCTTATAATTTGGATTTATCTGATTGTTTCTTATCATAAGATTCAGGTTAAGCAGTTTGATAAGAAGACTATACAGGCAGTATTGTTACTTTTCATTGCTTTGTATCAGGAAACAATGTCAATTTTTTATGTTACTAGTTGATCATTTAAGTAATAATTGCTTCATATAGTGTCTGTCAGATGTTATCTTGTAAAATGTACTTCAATCGCATACATTATTTCAAAATATATTATTACATTTTTCAGCAACCTGAAGTGTTTGTACTTTCTGTGGATTACTAATAAAGTCTGTTCTTTCTCTTAATCAAATTAACTACACTAAGGCTAGATCTGTATGAGTTAGAGGAATTGCATAGAGCTGTAAGATTTTGTGGGTTTGATTTTTTTTTTTTTTTACTATATATCTTTGGACATCAGTGAATTTGTGAAAGGGTAGTTCCTGTCATAATTGAATCTTAGAAACTTGCCTGTAGCAGATCATACCCAGCCCTTACCTCTGATATTTTGGACTGTTTCTGATTTATCCATTTCATTTGTTCACATAATCCAACATAATTTTATTACATGCTTAATTGTGCAAAACCCTTTAGGGAATAGATAAATGAAACCCCTTTTGCTTTTATCCTAGGAGAATTCAATAATCTGCCTAAAAATAAAACTATAATAATTATAAATAATTATATAAAGGGAATTTAAAAATAAATTTCCTCTAAACTTGTTGCTTGAGCTTCTTTTGATATATATGTAATTAAGGCTCCCAACTAAATGCTAAGTTGCCTGCCTTAGTTTAGGCATAACTCTAATACTAAGATATTTATATTCTAGGTTTGGGTTGGCACCATTGGATCAGGACCCAAGGGTCGGAATCTCTGTGCTACCTTCCAGCACACAGAAACATTTGAATTCCAAGATGAAGTGGGAGCACTTTTGTTATCTGTATGCCAGATTGTTGGCCAAGGAATTTTGTGTTTCTTGCCATCTTACAAGGTAGGGGAATACTTATTGTTTCTTTTGCCTTTAGAAAACCATGTGGGATTACCATGATAAACTTCCTAAGGCTAGAAGCAACAGGGGAATTATAGTTTTCTAAACATCATATATTGTTTTACTTATTTATTGATTAAGGCACTGCCTAATTGTTCTCTTACTGTTTTACTTGACAGTTTAAAAACTAAAAATGTTTTCAAGCCGTGCTTGTTATATATTTTTGTGTATGGGATTTTTATTCTTAGAGTAGTTTGATATTTTCATAGTTGAAGGGAAAAGGAGCATTCTTTTCCACTTTTATAAATTACACTTTTGAAAGTTTCAGTAATTTGAATCTAAAGCCAACTTTCTTGGTTGCCTGTATTTTTACTTCATGTAAATTACTTTTTTCCTTGTTTTTAGACTCACTCTGATTTTCAATATTTTCTTGAGTTAAACTGAGTTATAACTTAGTCTTAATAGCTAAAGAATTAAAACCATGTATAATTTCTGAGATGAATATATTTATCAAAATCAAAGCTAAGTTTCAGTGAAAAGAACTGACATTTCCTTTTTATTTTCATATGAAGCTATATATCTAAGGACAGTCATAGAAATAATATATATGAATAGCAATATAGATACGTTTGGCTTTTCTACTGTCCTTTTATCTACATACATACTGCGGTGGTCTAAATATGTCCCCCAAATTTTATATTTTGAAATCTTAACCCCCAAAGATGATGACATTTAAGCGGTGGGAGGGCTGAAGTCATGAGACTAGAATCCTCATGAATAAGATTAGTGTCTTATCAAAGAGGCTCCGTAGAGATCCCTTGTCCCTTTCACCATGTGAGGACAGCAAGAAGGCACCAGCTATGAACCAGGAAGAGAGCCCTCACCAAATGTGACCACACTGGTACTTTGATCTTGGATTTTTCAGCCTCCAGAACTGTTTATGAATTTCTGTTGTTTATAAGCATTCCAGTCAGGAGTATTTTGCTATAGCAGCCCGATGGGACTAAGAGACATACTTTGTTAGCTAGAGATGCAGTAAATTAGTCCTCTTATAGATAAACTGAAGGAATTGTTTCTACAAGAAATTTAATCAAATTGTTTTGTTTGTTTTTACAAGACTTTCTAAAAATAAAATGGACATAAACATCTTTAAAATAGCTATACAATAAAGAGGGACTATGCTAATTGACCCTCATGCTGTTGCAAATATGGCAGCGCTACAGCCAATAAGGAGGGAATATGCTAATTGATTGTCCCGCCCTCAAAGATGATGGCACCCTGTCCTCTCTGGAGTCTGAAAATCCCTTCAGCCCCCCAGCTGCCCTGGGCCAGCCCGAGGCACAAGCAAGGCTTCTAGTTCCGTGTTTTCAAATGATATAATTTTCATTAGCCAGTTTCAGTAGTTTAAAATATATTATAGCTTAATGAATCAACTAAAATTTATAGGCATTAGTAATTTTCTGTTCATTGAGTACTTTGTCTTTGATAAAGATACCAGGCACCAAGCCTTTTGTGTGTTGTTGTTTTTTTTTTAAGTTTTCTAAGAAAAAAAGTGATGAAATATCAATCTTTACAAATAGACATGTTCAAAAGCAAAAAATAGGTTCATCAGACCCTAATAGTATACCAAGGTTTAAAAACCTTTAATAATTCCTTATTTTCTGAAAGACTGAGCCTAAAATATTTTGCACTATCCATAGCGTCCATTATTTTCAGCCTTATTTCTAGCATGCCCCATTCTGTATAAACCTTTATTTTAGTCACATTGCATTATGAGTGCTTAGAACTGCCATGCATTTTCATACCTATCTATGTGTGGTAGAATTGTAAGATGGCCCCCCCAATATTCCTGGCCTCTTGTGCGTACATTCTTTCCCCCATTTATTCATTCAAACAGTAATATGGGTACTGCCATGAAGGGATTTTGCATAAGAAATCCCTTAAGATAGTGAGAGATTATCTACTTGGTCCTGATCTAATCCCACGAGCCCTTTAAAAGCAGATACACGTAGTTTTCTACAGTTGGTTGCAGAAGAGGAGGACAGAGAGACATGATCTAGCTTGCTTGGAAGAAAGCAGATGTCTGTGTGATAAACTGACTATGAGAGAGGTAGGGAATATGGCAAGGAATTGCAAGTGGCCTATAGGAGCTGAGAGCAGTCTGGCCAATAGCTAGTAGGAAATGAATTCTTTCAACAGCCAGGCCTTGGAAGAGAACCCTAAGTCCCAAGTGAGAACTGCAGCCCCAGAATACACATTAATTTTGAAGCCCTGAACAGAGAATCCATTTATGTTGTGCTTGGACTTGTGACCTACAGAGATATAATAAACAAGAGGCCCAATGCACAAAATTTGTGCAAGTATAGGCTTGCCTTCCCGTGGCTGCCGGAACCGGCTTCCCTCTGGCACTCGGGTCCCGGGCTTTCCTCCCAGCTCTGGTTTCGTCTGGAAAGTCATCTGGAAGGATGTCCAGTCTAATTAGCATATTATGCTTTTATTATTATAGATAGATTGTTTTAGTAAGTAGGTTTTTATGCTACAACATGGATGGACCTGGAGGACATTATGTTAAGTGAAAGTAGCAAAAATAAAAGTAACTTTTTTAACAGAAAGTTAGAAGGATAGTTGCCAGGGCTGGAGGAAGAGGGGAATGAGTTGTTTAATGGCTTTAATTTTGCAAGATAAATAGAGTTTTGGAGATGGTTGTACAATAATGTGAGTATACTTAACCTAACTGACCTATACACTTAAAAATGGTTAGGATGGTAAATTTTATGCTTTGTATATTTTAGCACAATTTAAAAAGGATTATTATTATTATTATTATTTTGGCATTGTAAATTTCTTTTTTCTTCTTCTCTCTAGTGGATCTTCTCCACTAGATTGTTGAAGTGGGGTTTTTCCCAAAGTATTTCACCCTCAAGTTTTATAGCAACAGGTTTATAGCAGATTCAGGTTGGCAGCACCTGAAAGTAGTACTTTTTAGGAAACACTGTAGTGGTTACACATCTGATTTATTTTCTTCTCAGCCTAGAGTATGATTAGATTATAATAGTGCAGGTACATTTATAGTTTAATTTAATTATTAGCCTTTTAATAGAGGGATAGAAAATGAGTTGCTTTTTTTTTTTTTTTTTTTTCCCCCTCTCTCCCTACAATTAATCTACTCTGGTAAGGAATGAAACATAAAAATGAATTTGTGTAAATAAATTTATTTGTTCAGATTTCAGCCAACATTTAGTAAGCCGATACTTAACTCTTAAGTAGCAAAACTGGTCAAATATATGCATTTTAATAAAATATTTTGTTTAGTCATTGATGAACCCAACTATGTTGATCAATAAAAAGAAATTTGGAATTTATGTTTTAAAAGAGTCAATTTTTTTCATACATAGATAGCTGTTCAGTTCTTCTCGTTTTCTATCCAAGAGATTTCAACAAAGTAGAATATCATGAGAAACTGTATGAGTTATTTCTGAAATTCTACTTAATTTGAAATCTTTTACATTGAATATATTATTGTATATTTTTATCATAATGTATCAATAAATGGCTGTAAATAAATGTCAGTAACAGTAGTATAGTTCTAACATTTTCAGAGTCCTCATTCTTTTAACAAAATTATGTGAGGGAATTTTTCTTATGAGAAAGGACTGTAGGACCTTTTATTTGGCCAAGAACTAAAATGGATCTTACACTTCATGATGATATTCCTTCATATTATTATTCCTAATGCATTACTGACTGTATTCAAATTTGTTGAAAACTTGATCTTGAAATCTAACAGAGCCTCTTAAAGTGATGCTGAAACAGATAATCACGATAAAGCTAGAATATAGGAAGTTGTTTCAATAGAAATTCATATTTTCCATATTTTATGTTTGAATACAGATGTTTGAATAGCAAGAATTAAGCATATATTCATTTTTACTGTAATTCAAAAAGTTATGAAAAACTATTAGGTCTAGTAATAATTAATGTCGTTTTCTAATACTTTTTTAAATCGAATTTATTTAAACAATACAACAAAATTTAATCAACAATATAGTTGCCGTTGTTTTCTACTACTTGTGCCCAACGCTCAGGAAGCATTTTAATCCCTCTGTTGTAAAATTCTTGCGATTTTGATGCAAAAATTCGGTCAATGCATTTTTGAGGCATTCTTCATTATTAAATTTTTTTCCAAGAAGAAAGTTTTGCAAAGAATGAAACAAATGGTAATCGGAAGGGGCAATATCAGGAGAATATGCAGGTTGAGGGAGAACTTCCCATTCCAACTGGCGCAGTTTTTCAGCAGTGATTCTTGCAGTATGCGGTCGTGCGTTATCATGGTGAAGAATTACCCCCTTCCAATTAATCAGCGCGGGTTCTTTTTCTCTTAAAGTTTGGGCTAACCTTTCCAATTGGGCACTATACACTGCACTTGTAATGGTTTGGTTAGATGGTAAATGTTCATAATGAAGAATTCCTTTAAAATTCCACCAAACACACAACATCACTTTTTTCGCATGCAAGTCAGGTTTTGGCGTGGGCTGCAGAGCCTCATTTTTGTCCAACCATTGAGGCCGCCTTTTCAAATTAACATACAGCACCCATTGTTCATTTCCGGTAACAATTTGCTCTAAAAACGGCAAACGGTTTTGACGAGAGAGGAGCGAACTGCAAATTGTGACTCTTTGATTATGGTTGTTGTCGGTCAACTCATGAGGAACCCATTTTCCAAACTTTTGGACTTTGCCAAATGCACGCAATTGATTGGAAATTGTTTTTTGTGAACAATTTAAAGTTGTCGCAAGCTCTTGTTGGGTAATTTGAGGATTTTGCACCAAAAGAGCTTGAAGAGCTTCTTGATCAAAATTGGACACACGGCCTCGACCACTCTTGTCATCTAACGAAAAATTTCCCTCGCGAAATTTCTCAAACCAACGCTGGCATTTTCTGGCGCTAACTGCATCTTGACCAAGAGCACTACAGATGTTTTTTGCAGCCTCACTTGCTTTTCT